ATGAATTTAACATGGATAAACACGAATGCATAATTATTGAATTGCCAAACATGCTTAAAACTATAAAGTCCAATATCAAAATTTGTTATGGGCAAATCTTGATCATTGATTCCTCTAAAGCTTGTAAGAGGAAGTCTAAAAAATGCTTTAAGAAAGCATTCAAGATGTTTAAAACAGTCAAAGCAAAGAAGGACAATATCAAATAATCCTTGTTATCATTTTGGAATGATAGGTCATTGGAAGAAAAATTGCAAGGCTTATATCTACCTCATTAGCTTCTTGATATTAGATACCAGTTCTGAATCTCGTATTTATAAATATGCATAAACTAAATAGAAGTAAACCACTGAAAAAGAAGAAGTTGATCTGCACGTTGAAAACGAGCAAATGTTGATGTATTAATGAATTTAATTTTTTCAATAATTTAACGTAATTATTTATTTAGTAATTTATGTAGTTGTAAAGTAAAGTAAATAAATATTTTTCTTAAATAGATAAATTGTTAAAAATCAGAAAAATGAAAAAAAATAATAATTAAACATTGTTCATTTGGTGTAACAAGTTAAATATTATATTTAGTTTGGTGCAAGATTTGGTACAAAATTTATTTCAAATTTTGGTGTAGGGCTAGAGATAGCATAATTAGTGGAAGGTTGGAGATAAGAATTTGACAAAAAAAATTTTAAGAAAATAATTGCTATAATGAGAAAAGATTGAGAGTTTAGCTGCAATTAGAACATGGTGTATGAAATAAAAATTATGATGTCAATATAACCACCCTTTAATTATAGGAAGGATTTCTATCCACAAATAAAGTTATAAAACTATATAAAATAAAAGTTAATATCAGTTGATGCTACAAAAAATTGCGCATATTGATTCCTGAGCTTGATAACTATTGATGGCATGAACAAAATCTTCAATACCCGAAACAAAGTCATTAAAGTGTGTCCTCATCGTCCTTCCTCCGATGCTTAAATTAGTGAGAAGTGAATATATGAAAATCTATATGCCAAAAAATATGTAAAAGCCTCCCTAGTAATGAGCAAAAGCATTATATTTTGTATAGTAGAAGTGCAATCCTAGTAGGATTGAGTCACTTAGATACCTTATATTGTCTTATAGTCCTGGAAGACGCTAGAGTCTTGTTGTAAGAGGTGAATACTAGAGTTCAACTCGAATTATAAGACCAGAGTGTTTGGATAATGTTGAGATTGTAGAGGTAGTCACTCTAGCCTCTAGGACAGCGAGAGTGGATGGCAATCACATGATTAAATTGTAGACCCAAGGTCCTAGGACCGACCTCAACGAATGGTTTGTGGTTGACTCCATGGAGGCTAGGTTAAAATGGCTCTCAGGGGTCAGTCCAAAATGTCCATGGGAGGAGCAGTAGATATGGTTGTCCCAATCTCAAGCATAGGTAAATCTCGGGAAAGTTGTGGAAGAGAAGTAAAATCAAGGACCTTAAACCTTACCAAAATTGTGATTATCATTAGTTTTAGAGAACCCTACCCGTAAAAAGGGACAAAAGTTACAAGGGGCTTTTAATGGATAATATCAAATTTAAAAATTTATTTTATTGTATTTAGAGTAAATACTAATAAAAATTAGGGAAAATTGCAGCTATGGTACCAAACCTTTCGATTTTAAGTATATTTTGCCTAAACCTTTATTTTGTTGCAACCACAATACCAAACCTTTTAAAAACTTGCATTTAAAGTCCAAATGAATGATTTTTGTTAGTTTGATTTCAATTGACTTAAGAAAAATAAAAATAAATCAAAAATTAAAAAAGACAGCCCCATCTCCACCAAAAAAGAAAAAAACAGTATTATTCACCATATCTTTCACACCCCACCCAAAATTAACCCATCACCCCAGTCATTGCCATCGCCGCTTGCCACGCCCATCACAAAATTCGCCATCTTATCATTAATTTCATCATCTCAAATCACAAACCATTATCAAACCAACCAAGAAACCCATTAAGAAACCATTTTCTTCCTATCAAGAATTTATAAGTCAATGTGATCTAGGGTGGCGGAAACCCACCTTATGGCCACACCCACCCTCTCGAACCACCACCGGTCGACTTCTACACAACAGGCACTCAATATGATGGTGATGTTTCAACAAAATAAGAATAAAAAATCAATGAATTTTCTGGGATTTCGCATCCAATCGCATGCGAACAGGGGCTCTCATATCCAATCCAATTAATGGTTTTCCCATTGTTCAATCCGCAAATTCAATTGCGGGAACTCATATTCATACTCAGACAAATGTGGGTATACAATTAATTGATCTAATTGCTGCTCAACTGCCTTGTAATTCGAAAGTAGCAACTGGGACGATTCCTTCAATTGCAATTAACGGCCAAAATATTGTTCTTCCATCCAATGTGATCCACAGGTGGCCCAAGTGGGCCTATCTATACTTGCTTTGTGAGAGATGAAAGACTGCCCAATGGTGGCTCAATTATTCACATCGTAGATCACTAAGATTTGGAAGGAGATGATGAATTTGAAGTACAGTAGAATAGGATGAGGTGGGAGGAATGGGGTGATGAACAATACCTTCTCAATTTTTTGGGGGTAAGGGTGGGGTGTCTTTTTTATTTGGTTTATTTTAATTCAAAGTTACTATTTTCCTCTTTCTAAAATTGGTCAAAATCAATTCTCTTGAGTCAACTGACGGTCAAATTAATTGAAATAATTCATTTGGACTCCAATTGCAAGTTTTTGAAAGGTTCGGTATTATGATTGCAACAAAATGAAGATTTAGGCAAAGTTTGCTTAAAATCAAAAGATTCGGTCCCGTGACTGCATTTATTCTTTAAAATTGCGCCTATAATAAAATAACAATAAAAAAGCAACTCATCAGCAGTAATATTACAAAGAATAATAAAATGATAGTTTAACTCATTTGTCATCAGTTATCAAAGCAGCATCAATGATTACCAACAAAGTCACCGACAATAATCGTTGATGGAGGTTCGTTGTTGATCACAGAGAACTTCATCCAAATCACTAACATGCATTGATTTTATTATATAATCGTCGACGATGTTTTCACTATAAAACATAACCTCTAAATTGCTTGAATTACATCTAAATTGAGATTTTCTTGTTTTCACTATAAAACTTCCACCCTTAATGAGGTTGATTAATATTTATTTTTTCATTAATCTCTAACAAAAATTAATTATTAAGTATAAATAATCCACTACGAGAAGATGGTCGCCACCCTACTTGACCATACACACCGAGACTTGTTGACTTTGCTAACTATTGATATGTATAAAATAATTTGCGATAGAGATCCTAATGTTGTCTAGATTGTGTTTGTCTTCTTGTAATTGACTATTGTCAAAAACAGTTTTTAGCAACAGCAAATCACAAAAAGACAGCTGTTTTTTTGTACCAATTCTGTTAAAAAAAAATTTGTAACTAGTAGATTAAATGGTTATAGAAAGCTATGGAGAAATCGAAATTTGACTATTAAATATTAAAAAAAAACGCATATAAATCTAAAATTAAGAATTTAGATGATTATCACGAGAAAAGGAAATTTCTTGCACTTTAAGACGACGCGGTTAAGTAAAGTTAAACATATATTTGGAATTAAAGTGAAGGTTCCAAGCAGTTCCATGTTGGGAGACAAAGACTCGAAAGTCTCAAATTTAATAATTTTTTTTTCCTATAATCGTCTTACTTTTTTGGTTTTTAGTGTTGTCCAATGTCTTTATCATATAGTACGCGTTTGAGCCACATTATTTTTAAAGAATGTATTTTGAAATAGCAGATTGATGAAGAATATATGGCTAAAAAATAGGAAAAAAATTTCGATTGGCGTATAATATTATTTTATTGAAGAATATATGGTTGAAATGATGTCAAATCACTATTTTAAAATGTGACTCAAACAGGGCCGATAATAATTATATGGTAGAAGACAAATCACTTATGTAATTTGTTCAAAAGTGTTTTCTTTGGGTGTTGAATATTGAGTCATTCACATTGTTGTTCTAATTTAGTTGTTTGATTTGTAAGATTGGAAGAATTTTCTTGACTTGAGTGACATAAAAAAGACTTTTTATTCCGTTTAAACGAGATAAAACACCTTTTTTCTTTGGTTCGAAAATAGATAAATTTTACTATATTTCAAAATAAAGTAACTTTTTATTTATTAAAATGTGATTAACTTGTTGGGAATGAAATTACATCGAACTAATATAAAGTTTTTCCTGTTGATCATTACCTATTGTTTGAATAACAAGTCAACCATTAAAATTTAATAAAGAACAAGTCAATCATCAAAGTTCCATTATAGTGACACAATTTGTTCTTATCAATAGAAAATATCAAAATTTTCGTTGAACTAACACGTAACCTTGATGAAAACATAACCCATTTTAATTTCATTAATACTACTACAATTTGACAAACAAAATTTATTTTTATAAAGTGGAACATATAAATAACAAGTAACAATTTAATAGAAATTTGAATTACTTTCGTTGTTGAAAATTGATTTTTCTCGACTTATTACTCAATTATAACTCAAAAATAAACCTTTCAAATAAATTGTTTAGCCCTTGTTTAATGAACTTTTTGAAATGGGTTTCGCGACATGTACTCGAAAGTGCCCTCACATGGGGGGCGGGTCCTACGTATTTATTGTGCGTGGGCACCGCCTCTTATGTGAGGGACGAGTAACTGGACGTGTAAACGGGTACAAATAGTATTTTCCTTTCGAAATTACTAGTTGATGGATTTCATGATATCTACAGTAAAAAATAAATAAAAAAATTTGTTCGATGGAATGTGCGATTAGAAAGAAAGTTTGATGAAATGAAAATCACAGAAAAGTTTGCTTCGAGGCAATTTCATAGTCGTCACTGCACCAATTGAAACGAGTTTTTGGGACCCACTATCAAACATCCGTCAACTATAAAAAAACATGCCAGCTTCAGTTTTCCCTAGCGTGTTTTTCAAAGCTGCTCTTCAAATTCCTATTCCTCTCCCACTTTCTTCTACCCTAACGCCGTGGCATTCGCTGTCTCTGTCCGCCGTGACGGAAAAGACAAGAAAATTTTATCAGAAAAGGAGAAATAATTTGAATTCAGATGGCGGCACAGCCTCCGGCAATGACAGACGGCGGATCACAGCCTGTGACAGCGCTTTACGTTGGTGACCTCCACCCGAACGTGACCGAGATTGAATTAAGCGAGGCGTTCAGCCGAATGGGAGACGTAATATCTGTTAAAATTTGCATGGACCATACTACTGAGAGGTCACTTGGATATGGCTACGTCAATTATAGTAACCCTCAAGATGGTATGTTTCATTCTTGGGTGTGTGTGGAAGAACATGAATTTTATTTATTTTTTCTCTATCTCTAAACAATTAATAGTTTTATGTTTCTTGTTTTATTTAACCATGTCATTTGACTGAATCCTAGGTGTTAACTACCTTGTCTAAATGTTCAAAACAAAGATATATATATATATATATATATATATATAGTGCTTGTGCTTTGAATTTAGTCTCGAACAAGTCTCTATTATGATACGAAAGATTGAATCCCTCTCATATGTTATCATGTCAATTTTGATAATCGGATCACAGGAAACTTGAATATGATTGATATCATACTATGCTATTAGAGATAATATGGGTTTATTTAATCTCCTTTTGGCAAATTTGTAAATGGTTTATAAAGTATAATAGTGGTGGGTCTTACGAAATCTGTGAAGTATCCAAACACTAAGAGAACTGAATGTTGTGGACAAATGCTGTGAAATATTGGAAGCATTAACCTAAAATGATGGTAGAAGAGTTCTCAAATTCTATTTTATGATATTCCTGATTTTCAATGAAATATTTGCTCAGATCTTACACAACAAAACAAGGATTTTTTTGCCTAAATCGGTAGTGAGTTGAATCAAATGGAGAAGGATAAAAATATTTAGTTTTTTATTTGAAGTTTTTAGTGTTTGAACATCCTTTCGTTTGACACTGTTCTTATCTCGATTTTAAATTTTATATTTACTTGGAACTTTGAGCTTTTCTGGCTCCCTTTTTCTCTCCTTTTAGGCCTAACATCACTTTTCTTTGAGTTCATAATAGCCGCAAGAGCCTTGAAGGAGCTGAACTTCACTAATCTAAATGGAAAACCTATCCGAATATCATATTCTAATCGAGACTCAAGCTTACGTAGAAGTAGTGCTGGAAATATATTTGTTAAGGTACGCTTTAATCTTTATTCCCTTAGTTTATTGTTTGGCATGACCATTTTGCTTAATTTGGAAGAGATTCAGATATCTTTCAATCTTGCAGAATTTGGACATTGCAATTGATAACAAAGTATTAAACGAGATATTTTCTTCATTTGGAAACATAGTTTCATCCAAAGTTGAAACAGATTCGTTTGGTCAGTCGAAGGGCTATGGTTTCGTGCAATACGATACTGAGGAAGCTGCCCAGAAAGCTATTAATGAACAGAATGGCATGTCATTGTATGGCAAGCAAGTCTACGTAGGACATTTCGTTAGCAAGCGAGAAAGAGAGAATAAGACAAAATTTACCAATGTGTTTGTAAAGAATTTGTCTGAATCAATAAGTGAAGAAGATCTGAAGATAATATTTGGTGAATTTGGATTGATTACCAGTATAGCAGTGATGAGAGATGAAGATGGAAATTCAAAATGTTTTGGATTTGTAAACTTTGAGAATGCAGAGGATGCTGCTAAATGTGTTGAATTTCTCAATGGTAAGAAATTCAATGACAAGGAATGGTATGTTGGACAAGCCCAGAAGAAATCTGAGAGGGAACGTGAATCAAGACTTGAGTATGCCGAGAAGGAGACACGTGAAAGATCATTAGGATTAAACAACCTCTATATCAAGAATCTAGATGAAGCATGATTGACAGCGACGGCCACCACCGCCAACGTCGCCACGTGTAAGCCCAAGTAGCAGCGACGCTGCGCATTGCATCGACATCCATCCCCGCTGTAGGGCGTGGCATCATGCACGCTACTACTATTGTAGTAGCACAATAGCAGCACACGATGCCGTGCTACTGCATGGTGACGCATCTTTACTGGCTATTTGCGGTGTCGACAGTGACCAGTGTAGCAAAAAAAAATATGGTGAATTTTTAGGGTTTTCAAACCTGCGAGATGTGAATTGGGGAGGGGGCATGCCTTGCAATTTTTGACATTGCAGGCCTCTAGCTGAAATTTCATCAGGGGTCAATGTGCAAGTTTTAGAGGAGGCCATGTCTACAATTTGTAAAATTGGAAGGCCCTATTATTAATTTTAAAATAAGGTTGGATTGCAATTTTCAAATGGGCTTTAATGGCAATTTTAAAAGGGGTTTTAAATTTGAATTTCAAAAGGTTTTGACCTATATTATTAATTTTGACCCGTTCAAAATTTTGTTTAAAATTAACGTCTTTTTATATTTTCTTTAAAATTGGATTTTAACTTAAATATTAAACTTTGACCTTACATTAAATTTAATTTATATAGGAGTTTTATCCTAAATTAACATTTTAATTCAATTTTAAATTAGAGTTGGACACTAATCCAACTCTAATTTAGTATTTAATTAAAACTGGATTTTAATTAATTACACCCTAATATATATTTGAAATTAGATATGGACTCTAATTTGACATTTAATTAGAATTTAATTTTAATTAAATTGTTTTGCCCTAAAATTTTTCTTGAAATTAGAGTTGGACTCTAATTTGTTATTTAATTAAAATTTGATTTTAACTAAATAAGTTCGCCCAAAATCTTGAAATTAGTGTTGGACTTTAATTTTACTATTTAATTTTCATTAAATTCAACCTCCTTCGGCTTTGAAATTAAAGTTGGACTCTAATATATTTAATTAAAATTTTATTTTAATTAGATAGTTCCGCCCCTATACTTGTAAAATTAGAGTTGGACTCTAATTCGATATTTAATAAAAAATTTGATTTTTAATTAAATATATCCGCTAATTGAATTAATTGATTAATTAATTAATTATTCCAATACATTTGTCTAAATTAGTTTGGACAACCTTAATTGTTAGAAATTTGAAACATATATGCAAATAATACTAGATATTATATAGGAAAACATTTATATGATGAATGTTTTATTGGTGGATGATAATGGACTTGACTATGTGAATACGTTGAATGGTTAGTTTTATTCTTGTTGTTTTATGGGCTTGCACGCTCTTTTTTATTTTGGACGTACAAGTCCGTTGTAATTATTATGAGCCTTCGTGTCCAATTATTTAGGCCTGAATACTAACTAGTATAAGATACATGTTACAACTTAACTAATTAAAGAATCAAGAAGATGAGAAGACCATAGGGATGGAATATTTTATGAGTCAATGCAATACTTTCTAAGAACTAACCAACTAGTCTTTCTTATGACTTGGAAAGACTATATAGTAAAAGTCTATAATCGTCCACATATTATATTATATATATGTTTATTTGCATGTTAGATGTATAATAAAATATTCATAATTATTATGATAAGACATGTGCATGATAAATCCCTCGCTAACATATTAAGTCATAATTATATTAGCCTTCGATCATCATAGTGAGAAACCATAGTTCTCAATCGATCTTAGTTTATTGAGTACACTCAAGCTTGGTTTATTATGAATATGTTTGACACTATGAAATATTAGATATTTCTGAATGATGGGGTTAACTTAGTTAAAATTTATCTTTAGTTAAGTACACCGGAGGAGATAAATTCTAGAGGCATGTTAAGCTAACACATAAGATGTTTGAAAATAAAGAATTGTCAGTTTAATGATCTGTGAGTTGTATGGAGATATAATTGATAATATTATCTACCTAGATATTTTATTAAGGCTTATTGAGTATACTCAAGGTCTTAATGTAACAAATGAGATCCTAGCCTACTGGGAGTCAAGTATGGATTCCATAAATTTATGCAAGAGGGTCATAAATTTGAATTAAACAGTGAGAGCATAATTAATTTGATAAAAGACTATGTTAAATCAATTGATACATTTTATATATTATTGTTTTACTTTTAGTCTTTTATATTTATTGAATTATGAGTAACCATATGTATTTGAAAGTTATATTGGATGTCAAAAAGAAAACTAAATTTTCTTGATTGGTACCGCAATCTGAGAGATGTTCTCAAGTATGAGAAAATTGGTTATATCCTTAAATAGTCCTTTCTAAAGACATATGTTGATGACTCAACTAAGGAAGAGATGACTACTATAATAAACACGGTAATTACAATAGTTAACATGTTTGATGCTTGTGAGTCTGTGACTATATCACCTGAGTTATAAAAACAACATAAGAGTATAGATGTTAACACATATTTTTTCATTTCAAAGAGTTATATGATAATAATTGAGTGGAAGGATATGAGATTTCAAAGCAATTATACTGGTATAAAATGATAGAGGAATATTCAGTCAATGCTTATGTACTGAAGATGATTGACATTAAGAAGTTATCTCAATTGAGTTCAATTATAAACCATGAACTAGTATTGACTTGGTTTTACAATCTCTATCAAGAGAGAGATATTCACAATTAATTATGAATTTAACATGGATAAACTCGAATGCATAATTATTGAATTCCCAAACATGCTTAAAACTATAAAGTCCAATATCAAAATTTGTTATGGGCAAATCTTGATCATTGATTCCTCTAAAGCTTGTAAGAGGAAGTCTAAAAAATGCTTTAAGAAAGCATTCAAGATGGTTAAAACAGTCAAAGCAAAGAAGGACAATATCAAATCTAGCCGCTGTTTGATTCCCATTTTTGGGATAAAATGAGTTATGGAATAGTAATTTTTTGGAGAATGTGTGGCTAAAAAGTAAGGAAAAGTTTTTGAAATTCGTGTATAATTATTTTATAAAAGAATGTGGGGTTAAAAATGAATTTTAAAAAAATGCATTCTTGAAAAAATGGGGATCAAACAAAGCCCTAATAATCCTTGTTATTATTTTGGAATGATAGGTCATTGGAAGAAAAATTGCAAGGCTTATATCTAATTCATTAGCTTCTTGATATTAGATACCCGTTCTGAATCTCGTATTTTTATAAATATGCATAAACTAAATAGAAGTAAACCACTGAAAAAGAAGAAGTTGATCTGCACGTTGAAAACGAGCAAATGTTGAGGTATTAATGAATTTAATATTTTTCAATAATTTAACGTAATTATTTATTTAGTAATTTATGTAGTTGTAAAATAACGTAAATAAATATTTTTCTTAAATAGATAAATTGTTAAAAATCAGAAAAATGAAAAAAATAATAATTAAACATTGTTCATTTGGTGTAACAGGTTTAATATTATATTTAGTTTGGTGCAAGATTTGATACAAAATTTATTTCAAATTTTGGTGTAAGGCTGGAGATAGCATAATTAGTGGAAGGTTGGAGATAAGAATTTGACAAAAAAAATTTTAAGAAAATAATTGCTATAATGAGAAAAGATTGAGAGTTTAGCGGCAATTAGAACATGGTGTATGAAATAAAAATTATGATGTCAATATAACCACCCTTTAATTATAGGAGGGATTTCTATCCACAAATAAAGTTATAAAACTATATAAAATAAAAGTTAATATTAGTTGATGCTACAAAAAATTGCGCATATTGGTTCCTGAGCTTGATAACTACTGATGGCATGAACAAAATCTCCAATACCCGAAACAAAGTCATTAAAGTGTGTCCTCATCGTCCCTCCTCCGATGTTTAAATTAGTGAGAAGTGAATATACGAAAATCTATATGCCGAAAAATATGTAAAAGCCTACCTAGTAATGAGCAAAAGCATTATATTTTGTATAGTGGAAGTGCAATCCTAGTAGGATTGAGTCACTTAGATACCTTATATTGTCTTATAGTCCTGGAAGACGTTAGAGTCTTGTAAGAGGTGAATACTAGAGTTCAACTCGAATTATAAGACCAGAGTGTTTGGATAATGTTGAGATTGTAGAGGTCGTCACTCTAGCCTCTAGGACAACGAGAGTGGATGGCAATCACATGATTAAATTGTAGACTTAAGGTCCTAGGACCGACCTCAACGAATGGTTTGTGGTTGACTCCATGGAGGCTCGGTTAAAATGGCTCTCAGTGGTCAGTCCAAAATGTCCATGGGAGGAGCAGTAGATATGGTTGTCCCAATCTCAAGCATAGGTAAATCTCGGGAAAGTTGTGGAAGAGAAGTAAAATCAAGGACCTTAAACCTTACCAAAATTGTGATTATCATTAGTTTTAGAGAACCCTACCCGTAAAAAGGGACAAAAGTTACAAGGGGCTTTTAATGGATAATATCAAATTTAAAAATTTATTTTATTGTATTTAGAGTAAATACTAATAAAAATTAGGGAAAATTGCAGCTATGGTACCAAACCTTTCGATTTTAAGTATATTTTGCCTAAACCTTTATTTTGTTGCAACCACAATACCAAACCTTTTAAAAACTTGCATTTAAAGTCCAAATGAATGATTTTTGTTAGTTTGATTTCAATTGACTTAAGAAAAATAAAAATAAATCAAAAATTAAAAAAGACAGCCCCATCTCCACCAAAAAAGAAAAAAACAGTATTATTCACCATATCTTTCACACCCCACCCAAAATTAACCCATCACCCCAGTCATTGCCATCGCCGCTTGCCACGCCCATCACAAAATTCGCCATCTTATCATTAATTTCATCATCTCAAATCACAAACCATTATCAAACCAACCAAGAAACCCATTAAGAAACCATTTTCTTCCTATCAAGAATTTATAAGTCAATGTGATTTAGGGTGGCGGAAACCCACCTTATGGCCACACCCACCCTCTCGAACCACCACCGGTCGACTTCTACACAACAGGCACTCAATATGATGGTGATGTTTCAACAAAATAAGAATAAAAAATCAATGAATTTTCTGGGATTTCGCATCCAATCGCATGCGAACAGGGGCTCTCATATCCAATCCAATTAATGGTTTTCCCATTGTTCAATCCGCAAATTCAATTGCGGGAACTCATATTCATACTCAGACAAATGTGGGTATACAATTAATTGATCTAATTGCTGCTCAACTGCCTTGTAATTCGAAAGTAGCAACTGGGACGATTCCTTCAATTGCAATTAACGGCCAAAATATTGTTCTTCCATCCAATGTGATCCACTGGTGGCCCAAGTGGGCCTATCTATACTTGCTTTGTGAGAGATGAAAGACTGCCCAATGGTGGCTCAATTATTCACATCGTAGATCACTAAGATTTGGAAGGAGATGATGAATTTGAAGTACAGTAGAATAGGATGAGGTGGGAGGAATGGGGTGATGAACAATACCTTCTCAATTTTTTGGGGGTAAGGGTGGGGTGTCTTTTTTATTTGGTTTATTTTAATTCAAAGTTACTATTTTCCTCTTTCTAAAATTGGTCAAAATCAATTCTCTTGAGTCAACTGACGGTCAAATTAATTGAAATAATTCATTTGGACTCCAATTGCAAGTTTTTGAAAGGTTCGGTATTATGATTGCAACAAAATGAAGATTTAGGCAAAGTTTGCTTAAAATCAAAAGATTCGGTCCCGTGACTGCATTTATTCTTTAAAATTGCGCCTATAATAAAATAACAATAAAAAAGCAACTCATCAGCAGTAATATTACAAAGAATAATAAAATGATAGTTTAACTCATTTGTCATCAGTTATCAAAGCAGCATCAATGATTACCAACAAAGTCACCGACAATAATCGTTGATGGAGGTTCGTTGTTGATCACAGAGAACTTCATCCAAATCACTAACATGCATTGATTTTATTATATAATCGTCGACGATGTTTTCACTATAAAACATAACCTCTAAATTGCTTGAATTACATCTAAATTGAGATTTTCTTGTTTTCACTATAAAACTTCCACCCTTAATGAGGTTGATTAATATTTATTTTTTCATTAATCTCTAACAAAAATTAATTATTAAGTATAAATAATCCACTACGAGAAGATGGTCGCCACCCTACTTGACCATACACACCGAGACTTGTTGACTTTGCTAACTATTGATATGTATAAAATAATTTGCGATAGAGATCCTAATGTTGTCTAGATTGTGTTTGTCTTCTTGTAATTGACTATTGTCAAAAACAGTTTTTAGCAACAGCAAATCACAAAAAGACAGCTGTTTTTTTGTACCAATTCTGTTAAAAAAAAATTTGTAACTAGTAGATTAAATGGTTATAGAAAGCTATGGAGAAATCGAAATTTGACTATTAAATATTAAAAAAAAACGCATATAAATCTAAAATTAAGAATTTAGATGATTATCACGAGAAAAGGAAATTTCTTGCACTTTAAGACGACGCGGTTAAGTAAAGTTAAACATATATTTGGAATTAAAGTGAAGGTTCCAAGCAGTTCCATGTTGGGAGACAAAGACTCAAAAGTCTCAAATTTAATAATTTTTTTTTCCTATAATCGTCTTACTTTTTTGGTTTTTAGTGTTGTCCAATGTCTTTATCATATAGTACGCGTTTGAGCCACATTATTTTTAAAGAATGTATTTTGAAATAGCAGATTGATGAAGAATATATGGCTAAAAAATAGGAAAAAAATTTCGATTGGCGTATAATATTATTTTATTGAAGAATATATGGTTGAAATGATGTCAAATCACTATTTTAAAATGTGACTCAAACAGGGCCGATAATAATTATATGGTAGAAGACAAATCACTTATGTAATTTGTTCAAAAGTGTTTTCTTTGGGTGTTGAATATTGAGTCATTCACATTGTTGTTCTAATTTAGTTGTTTGATTTGTAAGATTGGAAGAATTTTCTTGACTTGAGTGACATAAAAAAGACTTTTTATTCCGTTTAAACGAGATAAAACACCTTTTTTCTTTGGTTCGAAAATAGATAAATTTTACTATATTTCAAAATAAAGTAACTTTTTATTTATTAAAATGTGATTAACTTGTTGGGAATGAAATTACATCGAACTAATATAAAGTTTTTCCTGTTGATCATTACCTATTGTTTGAATAACAAGTCAACCATTAAAATTTAATAAAGAACAAGTCAATCATCAAAGTTCCATTATAGTGACACAATTTGTTCTTATCAATAGAAAACATCAAAATTTTCGTTGAACTAACACGTAACCTTGATGATAACATAACCCATTTTAATTTCATTAATAGTTCTACAATTTGACAAACAAAATTTATTTTTATAAAGTGGAACATATAAATAACAAGTAACAATTTAATAGAAATTTGAATTACTTTCGTTGTTGAAAATTGATTTTTCTCGACTTATTACTCAATTATAACTCAAAAATAAACCTATCAAATTAATTGTTTAGCCCTTGTTTAATGAACTTTTTGAAATGGGTTTCGCGACATGTACTCGAAAGTGCCCTCACATGGGGGGCGGGTCCTACGTATTTATTGTGCGTGGGCACCGCCTCTTATGTGAGGGACGAGTAACTGGACGTGTAAACGGGTACAAATAGTATTTTCCTTTCGAAATTACTAGTTGATGGATTTCATGATATCTACAGTTAAAAATAAATAAATAAAATTTGTTCGATGGAATGTGCGGTTAGAAAGAAAGTTTGATGAAATGAAAATCCCAGAAAAGTTTGCTTCGAGGCAATTTCATATTCATCACTTCACCAATTGAAACGGGTTTTTGGGACCCACTATCAAACCTCCGTCAACTATAAAAAAAACATGCCAGCTTCAGTTTTCCCAAGCGTGTTTTTCAAAGCTGCTCTTCAAATTCCTATTCCTCTCCCACTTTCTTCTACCCTAACGCCGTGGCATTCGCTGTCTCTGTCCGCCGTGACGGAAAAGACAAGAAAATTTTATCAGAAAAGGAGAAATAATTTGAATTCAGATGGCGGCACAGCCTCCGGCAATGACAGACGGCGGATCACAGCCTGTGACAGCGCTTTACGTTGGTGACCTCCACCCGAACGTGACCGAGATTGAATTAAGCGAGGCGTTCAGCCGAATGGGAGACGTAATATCTGTTAAAATTTGCATGGACCATACTACTGAGAGGTCACTTGGATATGGCTACGTCAATTATAGTAACCCTCAAGATGGTATGTTTCATTCTTGGGTGTGTGTGGAAGAACATGAATTTTTATTTTTTTTTTCTCTATCTCTAAACAATGAATAGTTTTATGTTTCTTGTTTTATTTAACCATGTCATTTGACTGAATCCTAGGTGTTAACTACCTTGTCTAAATGTTCAAAACAAAGATATATATATATATATATATATATAGTGCTTGTGCTTTGAATTTAGTCTCGAACAAGTCTCTATTATGATACGAAAGATTGAATCCCTCTCATATGTTATCATGTCAATTTTGATAATCGGATCACAGGAAACTTGAATATGATTGATATCATACTATGCTATTAGAGATAATATGGGTTTATTTAATCTCCTTTTGGCAAATTTGTAAATGGTTTATAAAGTATAATAGTGGTGGGTCTTACGAAATCTGTGAAGTATCCAAACACTAAGAGAACTGAATGTTGTGGACAAATGCTGTGAAATATTGGAAGCATTAACCTAAAATGATGGTAGAAGAGTTCTCAAATTCTATTTTATGATATTCCTGATTTTCAATGAAATATTTGCTCAGATCTTACACAACAAAACAAGGATTTTTTTGCCTAAATCGGTAGTGAGTTGAATCAAATGGAGAAGGATAAAAATATTTAGTTTTTTATTTGAAGTTTTTAGTGTTTGAACATCCTTTCGTTTGACACTGTTCTTATCTCGAATTTAAATTTTATATTTACTTGGAACTTTGAGTTTTTCTGGCTCCCTTTTTCTCTCCTTTTAGGCCTAACATCACTTTTCTTTGAGTTCATAATAGCCGCAAGAGCCTTGAAGGAGCTGAACTTCACTAATCTAAATGGAAAACCTATCCGAATATCATATTCTAATCGAGACTCAAGCTTACGTAGAAGTAGTGCTGGAAATATATTTGTTAAGGTACGCTTTAATCTTTATTCCCTTAGTTTATTGTTTGGCATGACCATTTTGCTTAATTTGGAAGAGATTCAGATATCTTTCAATCTTGCAGAATTTGGACGTTGCAATTGATAACAAAGTATTAAACGAGATATTTTCTTCATTTGGAAACATAGTTTCATCCAAAGTTGAAACAGATTCGTTTGGTCAGTCGAAGGGCTATGGTTTCGTGCAATACGATACTGAGGAAGCTGCCCAGAAAGCTATTAATGAACAGAATGGCATGTCATTGTATGGCAAGCAAGTCTACGTAGGACATTTCGTTAGCAAGCGAGAAAGAGAGAATAAGACAAAATTTACCAATGTGTTTGTAAAGAATTTGTCTGAATCAATAAGTGAAGAAGATCTGAAGATAATATTTGGTGAATTTGGATTGATTACCAGTATAGCAGTGATGAGAGATGAAGATGGAAATTCAAAATGTTTTGGATTTGTAAACTTTGAGAATGCAGAGGATGCTGCTAAATGTGTTGAATTTCTCAATGGTAAGAAATTCAATGACAAGGAATGGTATGTTGGACGAGCCCAGAAGAAATCTGAGAGGGAACGTGAATCAAGACTTGAGTACGCCGAGAAGGAGACACGTGAAAGATCATTAGGATTAAACAACCTCTATATCAAGAATCTAGATGATAGCATTGACGATGATAAGCTCAAGGAATTGTTTTCTCAATTTGGTGTTGTAACATCGTGCAAGGTTCGTCTAAAAATGTCTTTATTGTCAATCTTTTGATTGTGTTAGTCAGTCAACTATAGTTTACTAAATTAGTTGAGTCTGGTACAAATGCAGATTAACTGTGATGCAAAAGGGATTAGCAAAGGCTCAGGCTTCGTTGCATTCTCAACTCCTGAAGAGGCTTCAAGAGCAGTAAGTATTGTTGAACCAACTCATCTAAGAAATTAAATTGTAATTTAATTTTGAGAAAGCCCCTCTTACGTGCAAGGCATATTCACTTTTCTTGTTGAAGGCCCAAACTGTTTTTTGTTTGTGTAGATCTTGGAAATGAATAAGAGGATGATTGGAAGCAAACCTCTTTATGTTGCTATTGCAGAAAGAAAGGAAGTTAGAACAGCAAGGTTACAGGTATATTACTATGTTTTCATTTTTTTTCTTCCAATAGATGTTTTCGCATTTTCGCCCTGACATTCGTCATCGATGTGCTTAGTACTCCCATGAAATTATCTCCTTTTTAGTCAAGTTATTGGCACTTTGACTATAATACTACCCTTCCGATATATGCATTAACTCCATGACAAATAACATAGAATCAGATATCAATGTGCTCAGTACTATTTTGAAATTACTATTCTAATGTCAAGTTGGCACTTTGACTATATTTAATGGTTTTGTACACGAGTCGTAGTAACTAAAGCTCTATGGATACCGTCATACTTATAGAATGCCTCATCTATTTTTGTATGTGTATCCTCGTGATTATGAGATTACGAGTGATGTATTAATGTTTTCTTGTTTCTTGAGTCTGGCCATGAATCCATAGGCCGAGTTGCTCTCGGTTTTAGTACATATTTTGCAAATGAAATAGATAGTTGATATATTTTACAGGCTCAATACTCCCATATGCGGCCAAGTACTTCAGTCACTCCACGTATGCCAATGTTCACTCCTGGTAGTCCTGGACCAGGGCAACAAATATTCTATGGACATGCTGGACCTTCTATAATTTCTCCAATGGTATATTACATATTCACTGTAAATCTTTTGTTCAATATTCCTAGGATTGAGATACTCTTTCAATTTTATGTTGAAACGAAGCAATTTACATGGAAGGCTTAAAAATTATTAAGCTTTTGACTCATTAAAGCCTTTTCTGATTTGGGATTATTTTGGATTCCAACTGCAGTTTGTTCAGGGAATGAGACCTACTGGCCCATTCCTGCCAAATGTCGTCCTGCCTCTGATTCAACCGGGACCGCCAGGGTTGTACCCAGGTGGTAGACACGCCAGTGTTGATTCTGTACAGCAAAGCCTACAACCATTTCCAATGATGCAGCAACAGGTTAGTGGCCTTTTCAGTTGTGCCATTCTTGAAAACATTTTTTTGTAGTGTTGAGCATTGCTATGGCACAGGCGATTTCAAGGGGACGTGCATATCGATATCCTCGGCCTAATGTTTCTGTGCAAGGAATCTCTGGAGACATGGTTTCCTTTCCACGCGAAATTGGCAGCTCACAGCTGCGTGATGCACGGATTTCTCAGAGAATTCCAGTTCAAACTTTGGCTTCTGCACTTGCAAATGCTCCCTCTTCGGAACACAGAATGGTAAGCATTTTTTTCCATATCTTTTCTACATTATCTTGGAAAAAGAGCTGAAGCATGGACACTTCTATAAAGGTGACATGTAAATGTCTGACCGTCCTCAAACAGTATAGGACATGAGCCGGACATGCAAAGTGGCATATCCTATCTCAAAACGTTACTTGTCAGTGTGTCCATAACTCGATGTCTGTGCTTACAGATGTTGGGTGAGAATTTATACCCACTCATCGAAGAGTTGGAGCCCGAGTCAGCAGCTAAGGTGACCGGCATGCTTTTGGAAATGGACCAAACCGAGGTTTTACACTTGATGGAGTCGCCAGACGCGCTTAGAGCCAAGGTTGCAGAGGCTATGCATGTCCTGAGGAACGTGCCTCAGCACGAGGCTAGCAGCCTGGACGAGCTGCTCGCATAGTTGGCATTGATTAAATAACTATATAGTTCCCTATGTCTGTCGAATAAGGGTGGAATTATGTATTGTACAAGAACTAGATTTTGTTACATTGTTGAGCTAAACTTTGATACAGAAGGTAGACTGTGTTTTGTGAGGAAATAACAGGATACTGTGAATTTCATTTTCTTTTTATTCCTCCTTGTGTTGTACTCGTAGATATGGTATCCTATTTGTGTAATGGCGTTCCTAATTTTCTCTCAAAAACTCTGTAAATTATCTTTTTCTAAATCTTGAATTTTTACCTATGCTAAGTTATACATATTTTTTTATTTTTTTTTTGGAAAATCTCTCTTTTACATTATTATACATGTCAAGGGATATAATCCGACATCGAATAAAGATAAAAATATAGACCAATTTATAAGAATTTATGCTACTCCTCTTAACAATGTTGACCTTTTAAGATGGAATTCAAAGTCCTAACAATACATTTGTTTCACAAATCTTATTAGCTTTAAACCTAATCCACCACCCAACCCAGCACTACCCACACAGCCTTTTGGATGCTCTCGGAGCTGAAATATCGAACGCCTTTGGATATATTAGGGTTTGCTGTAATTTACGAATACATATTAATTTTGCCAGAAAGAGTTATTACAATTCTTTTCATAGCATTTCTAGGGGAGTTTTACTTCAACAAATTAACACGTCACTTTGTTTTTCACTTCTACAACATTTTAAAGATGCCTAAATTTCTCATCCACCATGCCCGCACGTAGTAAATAGGGAGACGAGGAACATAGTCCTTTGTGCCGAATTTTTCAAACCGACCCCGGATATTTTTATTTTATCATTCATATATTTTTTTATATGAACTAATTGTTCTACACTGTTTATTTGGTGTAGCTTGTTACATGGATTGTGAGTGGGAGCTTAGTTTTCGTCTAGGTATGCGACCTTGGATTGCTATTACATATTCAGCTCCTATAGTAGCTGCTGTCATTGTTTTTTTATCTACCCAATTGATCGAGGAAGTTTTTCTGATGATATGCCTTTATAAATTTCTTATACTTTCAACTTCATAATTGTATTCTAGGCTGAACAAATAATTAGACGGAAATAAATGAATTTTTTTATTCCATGTCTCGCATTCCAAAAATTCCCGACATGGGGATTGGTTCATTATTCAATGGCCCATTTTGCATGACTTTTATTTTTTACTTTTGCGTCGTGTAGAAGAGTTTTTTTTTTTTTTTTGAAGGAAATTACCTAATTTTTTTTGTTTGAAAACTACTTTTTAATAGAGTTTCATATTCCAAAAGTACTTTTAGAGAAAATTACATTGAATTGACTTATTCTAAAATCTCTTCTAATTAAAAGAATTACTACCATAAAATTAGTCAAATGGGTTCAAAAATAGGTTTTGGATTTCAAAGCTCATTTTGACATTTTTAAAAATCATGTCAAACGGGTCCTAAATGTGTTTAATCCCCAATTCCTACATCCTTAATGTTACCAACTTAACGTAATAAATAATATCGTTTGGTGGCACATTTGGTACCTAAAAGTGCCACTTAGAATTTAATGTTAATTTTTTAATCGACTGATTATTAGTGTAAAAGTTAGTAACTTGAGCGACTATTTCTATTTAATACAAATTAAGCCCCTGTTTAGCCATAATTAAATTATATTTTATTTTTCTCTTTTCTATTTTCAACTTCACAATCTTCCATAAAATAATATTTTATGTAAACCGAAAATTTTTCCATCTTTTTCAACCGCTCATTTTTCAAAAAACACTATTCCACCTTTTTTCACTTCAAAAAATGGGGGCCAAACGGAGGCTAACTTATGTGACCATGGCGTAATTAACTAACAGCTTCATTGTTTTCTTATAGAAAAAAATATGAAAAAAATATGTGCAAGTAGCATGACAGATGCAATAGATTTTCTGTTCAGATAGAATAATTCGTTTTCTCATTTTGCTGCTCTCCGCTAACAAATATTGAGAAAATAACATTTTATTTATATTTTGGTCTATGATTAATCAAAAGTTGTTAATTTTTATTTTCTTAGCAAAATTTATGAACAAAATATGTGGTTTTATTATTTTCCTTTGTGACCACGAGCGTATCACAGATCATTATAATCATAGGTCAAAACTGAGTATCAATCGTCAAGACACTGAATTTCAAGCTCCAATAAAGATTACAACGGTAAGAAATCTTGTTGCACTATCAGTTAATCACTAGTAACATAATTTACAGTTATTTTTGTTATAGTTCAGTTAATAGCACCAAGTGAAATAAATATGCTATCTACAAACCATATCTCGCTAATTTCTACTATGTAAAGAATCTCCAACGAGTTATATTCATAGAACTCAAAGGCCATAACAAGCTGTGGACCTGGTTTCATAATCTCATTCAACGACTCACTTAGTACTTCTTAAGCGTCCAGGCGAACAATATGCCTCTGCCTCATCCCTACATCTGCAGCTTCCCGATTCTGCTGAATCATGCCAATATCACTTACATTTGAACTTTGATCCTCTAGGACAACATGCTTCTCGTCTAAATTCTCCCCATAATTGTGGAGTCTACGACCAATCAAATACCGGTCATCGCGCATCGAATTGTGGAGGTTGGTGAACACGATATGAAACCGCTTGGCACAGATGAACAGCAGACTAAAGCTAAGGCATCCCAACCAAGCAAATCGATAGACAGCTGAGTTCACCACTAATGGGTACCCAAATAACGGAAATACGCCTCTTGCTAAAACATAGGGAACACACAAAGAAGTAAGCAGCTTCATAATGATTGGGAAAACAATCTCACGCAGCACCCAAAGACCTTGCAGTCTAAAGAAGCCATCTTCCCTCACCCTTTCGAATTTTATACGCCAGCTTTCATCCACCAGTGGCATCATGTTGCCCAACATAACCTGTACAAACAAACAAAAATTAAAACCTTTATTAGATCATCAAGTTGAGGCATTGATCTCAGTGCATCAATTACCATGTGAATATTCATTACTACATCAATGGACTCATTCTAAAGCTATCATAAAAACAAAGACCAAAGGAACCCACCCACGAAGTTAAACAGTTACTGAAGCCCCCCCCACCCCCCAAAAAACAAAACAGAAATAGAGAGAAAACTAACCACTCTTGTCCAGATCTTTAGAAAGATTAGTCCAAGAGCCCAATCCTGATACAAAAGAAAAACTGGACTTTCATCCACAGGAACCCGCATAGGCACAATTACCAGAAGTTCAAATAGCAGTCCGATTAACACGGGAATGATAAAAATCTGCAGCACAGAGTTAACACAAGTTAACTTTAAAAACACGTGCAATCTTATTCACATATAACCGAGATTCTCCATTCTTACCCATATTGACAACAGTGCAGAACTCTTGAGAATGATGCCACACCATTTCCATATCCCGCCAAGCAAAACTCTAGTTCTCCTTTTCCAAATATGGTTAATAAAATATTTTGCTCCAGCCAAGACAGTCCAAATAACATAGCTTCCAATGATGAAAGCATAAGAATCTAAAGAAGAAAGTCAAGGAAAATATTGAAGACTATGGTTTTATTCTCATTATTAAGTTAAAATAAGGGCATAACTACCAACTTAATAAATCAATTACCATTGAACTTGATGCCATGGGTTACTGGAAGAAGTGGAAAGGCATTGAAGAGTGTTCTCCCAAGTGAAATGGGTACGACTATCAATGCAGAGTTGAAAACAAGTAGAGTCATCCAAGCTACCAACAACAATACCACAATGCGAAGCCCAAAACTCCACCTGCTAAAAGATCAAAGCAGACAAATATAAGATGCTTGTAGTAAAACTCCATGAAAAAGAATTGCCAATCTACCAAGGGCTGACATCAACTGAATGTGCAAGGAAGAATTAGAAAAGACAAAATCTAAAGAACATTTGAGGGTTCCCAAAAAAGAGGTGAGCAAACAATTCACTTAAAAGCAATTGAATGCAATTCAACTTGAAAAGAAAGAGATGCTTCCATAATCAAGAAACACAAGGCACATGAATGTGCAGGATTTATCATAATGTGTGCACTAAAAATTTCTGAGTTTGGCTGCATTTGTATCTCATACTACATTACCACTCTATTAGGTATTGTTGTTACCAAAAGATATGTCCACAGAATTAAAGAAGAAAAAATAATGACTTGTTTATGAGTGGTCTTTGAGTAAAGCTCAAACTTCAAATCACAAAAATGTGGATTAGTTAAGTGCAATTATCAATCTGAATTGCCGGAGAGATGGGCAAAGAGTCTAAAATCTAGGAAAACAAAAAAGTTCATAAAAAAACTCCCACATTGAAAAGCTAATAATTTATTTATCCTCAATGGCAACTTACTCTAGATCAGCTGGTTCATCATTGTCGTGCTCCTCGGTGCCATCTAGTACAGCACGTGTGGCTAGTAATATTGCTCGTTCCTCTGCACCAAAACGTGCATGTCCTCTCCGTGGATTCCGATTTGCATTTTCCTGACCACCATTGTCCTCTGGTTTTGGGAGTAAAAACTCAGATAAACCAAGTGCCCAGCCAATGGCAATAAACCAATAGCGCAAAAGAGATTTGACGGCACACCGCGACTTAAGATGCTCAATAGCAAAAGGAATGAATATTTGAAAGAGAAGTATGTCAGCAGGAAATTCAGTAAATGGATCAGACACACTGCACAAGAAGCATTTATGTGGGCGTTAATAGAGAAATTTTTAAGTAAATCAGAAAACGCAGACAAGAAAATTATATTTCTGAAAAGGATGAGAGCAATCTTACAAAATTTCTATCGGAAAAATGGAGGGACCCATTTGCATTGCAAGTTTAACTGGTAAAAATACCAACATCACTATCAAACTCCCATAAACAGCAATAGACAACAGAACTCTACGAGCATGCTTGTGTACAGGATCATCAATCAGATCACGGAAAGGATTATAATTAGGATCTGCTGGATCTCGAAGGAAGTATAAAACTCCACTGCGTAGAACCTATAAAGAAATACATATGGTGTTAGTGGTAGCTAACGTAGTACTCTTGGAGAATACGAGTTGAAATAATAATTAGTTAGGCAAATTGAATACCCCTCGAAGAAGGCTGACAAATATACTGGTTTGCAGCATGAAGACAATTCCTACAACCCAATGAATCAAGAAACTTGCCAGTGGCGAGACTGAGAAGAATTCAACTCTATGTGAAATTGTCTTTCCAAACATCCTTAGAGTACAAACATCCAGCCACAATCCGCACGTCAAAGGGAAAACCCCAAGTTCAATGAACAGAAGGAAAACAACCTTAACTGCAGTCATTAAATGTCTCATTGCTGCAGCAAACTGCCTGAAGAGTGATGGAATAGTTTCAGCAATTGAAGCAATGCCATAGAACCTTCCCATGGTCAAAGGCTCTCCTCTAGTATACCGAATTAAAGCAACAATTCCAACATAGAAAATAATCAGTGAGAATATGAACATGTAGCCAGCAGCGAGAGTAGTAACATCAGAAAACCGTGATAATCCGTAAGATTGCACTTTCAAGAGGTCATTTGCAATATTTGAGCTTAGGTTGGCAAATACTTCATTGTTTCCTGTTACATTTACTATTAACATCTCGACCTGCCCAAGCAACCCATCTTCTTGGTTATCAGATGTCAAATTCACCACTGCATTTAATGCATTCTTCAGTGTGACGATCGCTAAGGAAAGGGCTGATTCCGTAAGTAGCAAGACAGACGATAATACAGGACCAGTGGCAAAGGACAAAAGCCAGGATAAATAATAGAGTACAACACGTCCTAATGAGAAAGGCACAAAGATCACAACTCCAAGGAAAAACATATTGCTTGCTAGAACCTGCAAAGAAGAGGAGGAAGTATAGCAACAAATAATCCGTTGCATACAAAAGGTGAAAAAGACTAGAAGAGCTTTCTGATTTATATCAATTTATAAAGCAATGTTAACATGCGGGTCTAGTGAAGATTTAAGACATCCAAGCACCAGATGACCTGAAGGCATATTGTTCATGGTGGGAGGAAAATAAACCTGTTAATGACAGCCAATTTAACTGCAATGATTTCGGATTCGTTTTATTGAGCAATGACAGAATTAAACTCATAGAAGGGGTAGTCTAATGCCTAAGTACTCGCGTCTACAGATCAGTCATTCAAAATAAAGAAGGAAGAGAGAGAGAGAGAGAATAATTCCCTAGGTCACAAATTTTCAGAAAAATTGGAATGGCTTATAAACCAGTAGCTATGGTCAGACACATAATGAGTTCAATTGCTGAAGTAATTGCGTTTGTTTAGGTACATCATCCTCTCAGTGAAATATAGAGTGGCTAATAACAGTAAAATAGGTATGCTAACCAGTCAGTCCACCCAGCCCACCCTGCATGGTCTCGTGAAAATAAATCCAATAAAATTATCCATTTAGAACCAAATAAGCAAACTAGATTTGAAAATTATTTCAATACACGTTGCAAGGTTTTAAGAAATTCCTTGCCACAGATTACTTCCAGTACAAAATAGTCGAGTTGACAATCTAGCACGCCAAAGTCGCTGTCCAGCTACCAAAAATAGGCTTCAAACATGGTACATACAAGCTTAAAACATAGCTGAGTGTCGTGCTAACTAGGGAAATATAATATCCAGTACGGGATAAATAGCATTCCATGTGAAAATAATGATTCAAGAAAACAAAATTAAACTCCAGTTCCATTCAGGCATCGAAAGAATTAANGGATAAATAGCATTCCATGTGAAAATAATGATTCAAGAAAACAAAATTAAACTCCAGTTCCATTCAGGCATCGAAAGAATTAAGGAAACCGTGGAACATATAAACTCACTGTGAATGCATTTTCAACCAAATGGAATACAGGTCCATTCATGCCAACCAGTTCATCAAAAGGTACATCTTCTGCACCATCAGCATCATCCAAGCCATCAAACATCTGTTCAACACGAGCCTCAAGACGAGCAGCCTGCAACTCCCACTGAGCAGCAACATTTTCTGCATTCCTGTGTATTATCTGGCCAGCTCCTGCAATTCCTTGTGCTCCAGCAGCATCTTCGTCATTCCCATCACCACCAATATTTCTATTGACTTGAGCAGCATGCCTTCTTGCAACATGAGCTCCATTCCTGTCTCCTTCATCTTCCCTGTTGACATCCTGCCCTCCAAGTTCTCGTAAATGTCTAAAGTAATCTCTCAGAGAAGTTGCCCCAAGAAATATGAATACAATGCATGCAGAGAGCAGAAATCCATGCAGACAATCGGTCAGAATGACTGTTGTAGATAAGTGACTCAAAAATAATCTTTGCGCTTCGGCCAAACTTCTAACGAACGTCAGTCGCCATATCCAAAAGGTAATAAAAGGAATAATGACAAGCCAAACTGAGAGTACAAAACTGAGGCGCAAAAAGAACTGCATAACATGGCAGACATTCATAGCTATCCCAACAATAACTTCCCGAAAAGGAAGTCTTGAAGGAGCATTTTCAGCATAAACTGGAGAGAACGAAAATGGATGTTTGCAGACCTGCATTTTATGTAACTAAGGAATAAGTAAGGGAATATCGCTCTGCGGTCCTCTATCAAGCACAAAGTGAAGGGAATAAAATAGGAATACCTATAGAAAACTATCAAAAATTATGTGAAGCACTTAGTAAGATTAAGTGCATAACATAATTTACATTATCCATTTACATATCTTATGCTATGGACTTGCAGTGTAATTCTTTAATATATATTTCTTGGGAAAGGTTGATGTCTAGATTTGCTTAAACAATACCCTAGTAAACATATATTGGTATCAGTTAGTATTTCAAATGTTCTCTAGCAAATTTTCTGATTGTAATACAAAGATGGTTAAGGCTTGCTGAGCATTTTGAAGAAATTATCAGAAACTTATACACCTAAAATTCTATTTCTCATACATTTGATGTTTTTAACTCTCAACTGGACAGTCTTCTTCACATGTAGAAATCCTGACCACTTGCTAGTTCCTTCATCTTTCTAATCACAGAAACGCCTCTAAGAACAATCTACAATTGCATCGATAATCAAAGTGAACATTGAGACAAATCATTTCCAATTATGCATAGAATCACGTGCTATATCTATGCCATGTTATATATGGTCTGTGCTTATCTTTGTAATCAACTAGATATAGACATAACCGTATGTTCAGAACTGGAAGTTTTGGCCGTTACCATTTTCCCTTGTAAACAGTTCTCACCCAAAGCACTAACACAAAATTCATGACTTGCATGAAAGAAATATAAAAAGGTCACTCGTTTTGTCTAAGATTTATTACTGTTCGTCCCATTTACATTCAGTGAACGGCTTTAAAAGATTTCAATTAATCAAAAAACACCATAAACTAACTTAGCCACAGGCGAACCACACAAGAAGTTTTCACAAAATTATCCCAATTCACAACCGATGTCTAATAACACCAAAAAAAGTTAAGTGGACATCAATAAACAGACCTCGCATTGGCGGGCGTTACTGTGATTCAGCCACTGAAGTAAGCAATCCTGGTGAACGAACTTTATGCTGCCACTGCAGGCACAAGGATATCGCAACGGACTATCAGTATCGCCAGGGTTCCGGCAGATCCGGCAAACATCCCCCTCCTCATCGTCATCCAGCAAATCGGACTTATCACTATTATTACTATTGTTATAATTATTATAACTCCTTGAACCCGGCGAAGAAGTCACCGAAGATGTTGAATTGCACTTTGAAGGCACCTCAAAGGAGGAGGATGACGATGCGGCCTCTGTCTCCAGTCCGATCTCCATCGAGCCGCTCGAGATTGCCGGTGGAATTTTCTAATGCTCTCTCTGGGTTTTGGTTGATGATTCTATTTGGGGCCGGTGACAATGGAGGAAATACCGTCCAATAGCCTAAAAATAATGAAAGTCCCTAAGATTATGCTCAGAAATGAAAACAATTGAAAAATAGTTTTCAAATAATAATCTTTCCAAAAATACCTCTTATCAAAGCCACTATAATGTATAAATTTTTTTAAATAAGTCCTCAAAGAAATATAGATCATAAATTTTTAATAAATTTAAATTCAAATATTATAGAAAATTTTATTGATTTAAAAAATGCAACAGAAAATGAATTAAAATATTTAGAAGAAGATCTGAAAGGATTCTTTACAGAATATTTAGATCCAAAATTAAAAAATAAAAATGTTCCTATAGATAATGATACAATCAAAACAGAAAATAATGTATATAAATTAATTCTTAACTTGAGAAGAAGAATTAAAGAATTAAATATAATCATTGAAGAAAAAGTATTAATAAAAAATAGTGAATTTTATAAATTTTATTGTGATATTTTAAATACTTATGAAGATTTTAATTGGCTCAAAAATCTTAATTCCTCCGTTGCACACTCCGACGAAATGGTATCTGAGCCATGTTACGAACCAAAAATTATGATGAATATAGTAGATGAAGAAAATATAATTGAGGAATTTTTGAAAAAAGTTGAAAAATATAAAAAAAAAACCTAGTTATCCCTATTTACCTAAAAATACTACAAATGAAAGTTTTGAGGATATACATAAAAGATTAGAAAATCTAGAACATAATCTACAAGTAGGAAACGCTCTTTTAGATAAAATCTTAAAGGAAAATATATGATTATAATTAATCCACCTCAAGATTTTAGGATTATTCAAAAGGAATAATATAAAGGGAAAAAACATGAAGAAAAACAATATATGATTACAGATGTAGAAGAGATAGAACAAAAATTCTTAGAATCTACAGGTGAAGAGTATGAAGAATATAAAAAACAGTTAGAAGAATTAACTGAAAAAAATGGAAAATACAAAGATGAATACTAATCCATCTTCAAGTCAAAATATAAAAATAGAATTTAGTAGTGATGAAAAACAAGATTATCCTTATAGTACCCCAATACCTGATAAGGCTGATATTAATCAATATAGAAAAACACAGAAAAGATGTACTTGAAATGTAAGAAAACAATCCATAAAATAAATAAATCCAACGAAGTCCTACAATGAATCAATCCACACAACAGGAGTATGGTTAGATTTAGACTGTGTAAATAAAAGTAAAGCTATTGAAACATGGAAGAAAAGTACAGATTTAGCGATACAATTTAATAAATGGGAAACATATACAGCTTTTGGATTTATAGAACATACATTCAGAGGAATTGTTTTTGAATGGTGGAGAAAGTTACCAGAAATTATTAAAGGAAGAATAAAATATGGAGCAAATAGAACTGAGGTATTAGATAATAGAAATACCCTAAATGAATAAAATATACAGGAAATATTAAAAAAATTTGAAAAAATCTTAAAAACAGAATTCTTAGGGGATATGTATACTTCTAATGAAGAAGAAAGAAAACAGGATGAATATAATCAAGGAATGATTGCAATGGAGAATTTAAAGATATGTGATATGTGTGAATTAGAAAGATACACATGTAATTTTGAAGAATTATATTATATATTAAATCAAGGAGATTATCAGGAAAACAAACCTATATTAAGATCTTATTTTACAAAATTACCATTCCCATGGGGAATTAAATTATTAAAAGAATATGAGAAATTATTACCTCTAGGAGAAGAGGAAGGAGTTAAAATAGATAGTCTTGGAAGTAGAATTGAATTTACAAAAAGAATGATAGGCATGTGGTGTAGAGAGGCACTAAAAAATAAGAAAGCTTATAAAATAAGAAAGAATTCATTATGTTGTTATAATGATAATGGCCAAGTTGAACAATTTGGATGTCATAAGAAGAAATATAAACCATATAAGAAATATAAAAGAAAATTCAAAAATTATAAAAAAAAAATTCAATAAAAGGAATTTTAAATCACATAAAAAATATTTCAAAAAAAGAAATTGGAATAAGAAATTTAAATCAAGAAACATTAAAAAATGTAGATATTTTATTTGTAATAAAGAATGACACATTGCCCCTCAATGTCCTGAAAAGAAAGATAGACAAAATATAAAAACTCTTAGAATTTATGAAAAATTTCAAGAAGATAGTGATATAGAACTAATTGAATATTTTGAAGACTTAAGTAGTGAATGCAGTAGCATTTATGAATTAGATACATCCTCATCAGAGGAAGATTATGAGGAAATAGTATATATGAATCAGGAGATACAACAATCAGAAATAAAAATTGAAACAACTGAATAACTTGAAGATTCTATAGAAGAAATTAATCAGGAGATTACCTTTGATATTAAAAATTACGCAGGAATTACTAAAAAGATATTAGATCTACAGGAAAAAGATGTATTCCATCAAGGATTTTTAGGAATTTTACCAAGAGTAAATAAAACAATTGTAAGTATGAATTATAAAGAAATGTCTATTAATATAGAAGACACTATAGGAAAAGCAAGAATTCCTATAATAACAAAAGAATGGGTAAAACAAAAGCTATCCAAAATCCCAGAAAACGTAAGAAACAAATTAAAATGTATTGAATTAGGAGGAGTCCAAATAATGGTAAAAGGATTCTTTAGAGAAGGTATGAATATACCAATAGAAATATACTGTATTGACAATAGAATCTTACAAGATCCTATAGATGCTCTATTAGGAACAGTTGTAGGAAACTTAGTCTATCGGAAGATAATATTTACAGTAAAACCAAATTATGCAATATCTTTAAATGATGAAAATATTAACTAAAGTTTCAATCTATATTATAGAATTGGAAACTTGAAAATGTTATGAAGAAGTAAGGCTATTAGTATAAGCATAAAATCAATTTTTGCTTTTAGTACTAGCCATCATAATAATCTAAGAAAGATAACTGATAACATTATTATACATAAAGCTTTTGAGGAATTAGCACAATATATACCTCTTAGAAAATACCAGGAACATGAAGTTACTATACCAGAACAAATAATGCTTGATTTTCATAAACAAGCAAAAGAAATTAATTCTGAAGGAAAATTAATAAGAAGAAATAGTGTCAGCTTAGAAGGAGACAATCTTATTGTAAGATTTCCCTCTAGACAAGACTCTAGGATAAGCAGACTTAAGAATTTAAGCATTGCTGAACCATTAAGTTCACAATATTACATTAAGACAAGATATGTAAACCAAGAAGGGTTTAAGAAGAATCTTCTTGTCCTCATAGATACTGGAGCAGATAAAAGTCATGTAAATGCCAAGTTTGTTAATCATTTAATAGACTTTGAAATACCAGAACTATATATATTTAAGGATTATTTGGGAAATAATCTTGAAATAAGAAAATATGTTAAATTCCCTCTTATACTTGTAGGAGAAGATCAAAAAGAATATATTAAAGAAATAATTTCATATAAAGATGATTTATATGGAGTAGATCGTTCACCTATTCTACTAGGAATGAACTTCCTTGAGAAATATAGTCCTTATAAAATTTGTCAAGGATATTTAAAAATAACAGTTGATGATAACTCAATCATCATACCAAGAATAGATGAAAATATGAAATCATTGTTATCATGGAAATAGTAATAAGTACTAATCCCATGAGTCCATATATTGAAATTACACTCAATATTAAAAGCTATTGTAGAATCAAATTTCATGCTTACTTAGATACAGGAAGTACAATAAGCTTATACTTATCAAATGTACTACCATCTGAATACTGGAAATACAATTCAAAGAAGATAGTCACTGCTACAACAGCAGGTGAAAATAAGGT